TCCGGCGCACTTTGAGGAGCTGCTTCAAATATGGAGGCCGCAGAGGCACCTGCACCTTGAAAAGAACGATGCGCAATCAGTAGCTATGTCTTCCTGACATGCTCACTCTCACCCTCACTTTCATCCCACCTTTCGAGAAACTCCAATTAACCAGGATAACATTCTAGACTAACCCTGAAACGATGTCGACCGACTACGATATGGCGGATAAGCTCTATTTTGATGAGTTGACTTATGAGCGTGTGATGGATATTTACGATCTTGAGTCCGCCTCCGGTGTGGTCGTCTCTGTCGGTGGTCAATTGCCCCAGAACATGGCCAGGAAACTACAGGAGACAGGAGGCGCCAAGGTTCTTGGAACTGACCCTATTGATATCGACAAGGCCGAGGACAGGCAAAAGTTCTCCGAGATCCTCGACAGCATTGGTATTGATCAGCCCGCGTGGAAAGAGCTCACCTCCGTCCAGGAGGCCGAGGCCTTTGCTGACCAGGTCGGATACCCCGTTCTTGTCCGGCCCAGTTATGTCCTTTCCGGCGCTGCCATGACTGTCATTCGCGGCCGGGAGGACCTGAAGGAGAAGCTTGAGGCAGCCTCCAATGTATCTCCCGACCACCCTGTCGTCATCAGCAAGTTCATTGAGGGTGCTCAAGAGATCGATGTCGACGCTGTGGCTTCTAAGGGCAACCTGATCCTTCACGCTGTCAGTGAGCACGTCGAGCAGGCTGGTGTTCACTCCGGCGATGCTACTCTCGTCCTGCCCCCCGTCAACCTTGACCAGACCACCCTAGACCGTTGCAAGGATATTGCCGAGAGGGTTGCCAAGGCCTGGAACATCACCGGTCCCTTCAACATGCAGATCATCAAGGCCGACAACCCTGAAGGCGGCGAGCCTGCGTTGAAGGTTATCGAGTGCAATCTCCGTGCCTCCCGTTCATTCCCCTTCGTCAGTAAGGTCCTTGGCACCAACTTTATCGACGTTGCCACCAAGGCCCTCGTCGGCCAGGAGGTCCCCGAGCCTGTCGACCTGATGGCCGTCAAGCGTGACTACCTGGCCACCAAGGTTCCTCAGTTCTCTTGGACTCGTCTTGCCGGCGCCGACCCCTTCCTCGGCGTGGAGATGGCCTCTACCGGTGAGATTGCCTGCTTCGGCAAGGACCTCGTTGAGGCCTACTGGACCTCTCTGCAGTCCACCATGAACTTCCGTATGCCCGAGCCTGGCGAAGGCCTCCTCTTCGGTGGTCAGTTGAACAAGGAATGGCTCCCCACCGTTGTGAACTACCTCGCCCCTATGGGTTACAAGCTCTACGCTGCCGACAAGGAAGTCAAGGACTTCCTCGAGTCGAATGTCAAGGGCATCACTGTTGACGTGATCGAGTTCCCCAAGGAGGATAAGCGCGCTCTTCGCGAGGTCTTCCAAAAGTACGACATCCGCGGTGTCTTCAATCTGGCACAGGCCCGTGGCAAGACCGTGATGGACGTTGACTACGTTATGCGTCGTAATGCTGTCGATTTCGGCGTTCCTCTATTCATGGAGCCCAAGGTGAGCTAATTATTGCCCCCAGCCTCTGTCCCTGTTGTTTTGTCTTCCTATGCCTGCTTGGGTACTCGAGGAGACAGTGCCTCATCCAATCTCACACAAACAATCACTGACGATTATGTAGACTGCTATGCTCTTTGCTCAGTGCATGAGCGAGAAGCTGCCTCGTAAGGAGGGCATTCCCTCTGAAGTTCGCCGCTGGTCTGACTTCCTCGGCGGCAAGCCGTTGTAAATACTACCTACACCACCTTGTTTCGGGTTTTCACGGAGTTTTGGGCTAGCCGGAAATCTTGTTCTAAGAAAAAAAAAGTCCTCAGAATTGGCGATAGGCGATGGTGTGACAGCGGGAGGGGGGAATGAAAAAAAGAAAAAAAAAAAAACCTAAGAGTTCTGTTCGAAAATCTCCTCGATCTCCTGATAGTGTCAGGCAAATCGACGACAGGAAAGCCGTGAACGCACAGGCAGGATGCCAAACGAAACAAACAAGGTTATTGGAAAATTCAATTCCTCTCAGACACCTTTCGTGATGTGACTGCTTGCTGCAGGCGCCTTTGTACTACTACACCCGATGGGAAGACGATGTATGCCTTCCATGCGAATATGCTCCCTAAACCACCCAACACCAGACCGGTAAAGCCTTTGACCGACCGAACGAGTAGACATTCCCAATCCTTACCCGCCGACGAAGCTCGCGAGAGTATCGTGTGACGCACCATATCGTCGCTCACGTATATCGTTTGCATACAGCCGCATGAAGTAACAGAGCAAATCTTACGATGACTGCTCTGCTTACCGAGGTGGGCGACGCTCGTTCAGCCTGAAGGCAGCAAATCGTTTAGCAAGTGGTTCCGTGGTGCCGGACTGGCGGCGAGAAGGATCACGCAATTCATTGGAAGCGGGATGGCCCTCGGACTGCCGTGGGCGCTTGGGGATTCGCTCACCGGTCGATTGCAGGATGGCCTGCAAAGTCTGCCAGCCTTCGGTAGATCGCAGCTGATAGGTATCAGCGAGGTCATGCTGCGATGCAACACGGCACAACAGCGACTCCTCATCCTACAGATGGTGTCAGCGAGAAATATCGGGAGCAGGATGAATTACACACTTTCGAAAGGATACCCATCTGGTGGATGAAACACAGCAGATGGAAGTTGGACATTTCCAGACCGCCTTCCGCTGGCTTCTGGCCTCCGGAGAACTTGAGAAGCCTAGATGCAGCAGAGTGCTCCTGGCTTTCGCCCATGTATTCGCGATTCTCGATGGGGAAACCTAGTTGTGTGAAGGTGGGCTTGGACTGGTCCGGGAAACCGTGTGTCAAAGTCACAAAAAGATACTCGACGGGAAACGAGGGCTTCGCGTTCTCTTGGACGTTGGCGCCGTACTCGTTGATCCTGCGGTAGAAAACCTCGGGGATGTATCTGGTTCGGCTGGTAGATCCGTCGTCCTCCTCTTCTTCCCGGACGAGCATGGCGTTGGGATCGGCCGAGGGCTCGACGATATCCGCACGCACCATCTCGACGGCGTCGTTAGATGCTTGGTATGATGAGATTGATATCTCTCCCAACTCATTGCCTGAGATGATGCATGTGACGAAGTTGGAGCCAAATTTCCCAGTATCGCTCCACTTGGTAGGCTTCGGGTGCTGAGCTTGCAAGCGTGAGATGAAACAGATTTCTTGAGAGGACAAAAAGTACGAATCAGCGTGTCGCTTGCACACAACTGATCCGTCACCAGCCCCAGCGTCGAGAAGATCAGTAAAGATGACGCCAACCTGCTGCAGTCCGCACAACCGTGCAACGTCGTCGACATCATTCTGGTTCTCCCAGGCGTTCAGCGAGATGCCATCCACCTCGTCAACCTGAGGCGGCTCATAGATGGCTTCCACCACTGCTTTAATACCAAGAGGCACGACTTCGTATTCAGTGTACCGCCCGTACATGATACCCAGTCTTTGGCCACCCGTCTTCCTCCATGCGTCAATGAAGGTGTCGATAATCGCTGGTGACGAGAACTCTACGTGGTCGACCATCCGGAATGACTGAGGCTGTAGCGTAATGGCGCTGGGCTGGCACTTGGTGCAAATACCTTCAGGCCACTGAGGATGCCCGGAAGGGCAGTCTCGCTTGACTCTGAAGTACGGTTCGGCCAGGGGTGGAATGAAAGAGCTTCCGAGCTCGGGTTTGTTCGTGGCGGAATTGATTTTACGAAGATATGAGTGAAATGACAGATACTTGATCTTCTTTTCGTCGAGGTACTTGGCGTCGAACGGGTCCAAAGGCATGCAGTAGTCGCACATGCCCTTCGGGCCATGGCGACACATCTTGTCGCGTCCTCTCGGGATCTTGCCATCCTTCTTATCTAGGCGATCATCCAACGGGTGCTGCTTGACCACTTCCCAGGGATTCTTGATTTTCTCGGACGGCGAAGTCACAGGCAAGGGATCGATCGGCAGGTCTTCGGTGGGGAGGATGGGCTTGCCATTGAGGCGGTTCGACGATGCGAGGGGCGGCTGTGTGCCATTGGTATCACCATTCGCCTGGCTGACCTGGTGCCGATAGCTGATAAAAATGAGGTCGCCATGTCTGCGACTGTCAGCTTGCAATTCGAGCCTAGGATTACTGCCATCATCTTACTTCAGTCCAATTTGTCCGACCTTGAAAGATGCAATATCGGTCAGGTTCTTGGCATCGCCGCCTGTCGGGGCATTGGAAAGTGTGATGGTGTTCGGGTCAACGGTTTTTGGAAGGGTCGGAAGCAGCTAGAAAGAGTTAGAAGGGATGATGATAGCTTGGAGGGAGTTCCTTACCAATCTACCAAGCTCGCCAAATGAGGCGTCCTTGTCGATGGTCAAACGGCTCATGCCGTCGGGCCCTCTCAGTCTCAGAAGCATGTTGGGCGGAGAAGACGAAGCTGTGTGAGGGTAAACCCAGGTTGAAGGAATGGACGATGGTATAGTAATTAAATAAGAAAACTCTATAAGGATGTTGTCAGCGGAATGAGCCCATGTCCTTTACCCCCTGTCGTTTTGATTTATGAGGCGTAAGAAGGACGTGTGGTGGAAGAAGGTGGTGGAAAGAAAGCTCGAGTTTGTAGTAGCTGTTGCTGTTTGTGTTGTTTAATGGGATGGGTAGGAGCTCCAGGACTCGACTTGACACTGGGTGAATCGCCGCCGACAGCGTCATCAAAGGTGGTGCCTTGGTGTGGGGCCGGCAAAACGATAGAGGGAGGGGGAGGGACAGTGCACGTTCCTTCAGCGACCCCTGGCATAGCTTATTCACCGCCCAGCAGGGGCGCGGTAATGGCCTTGCTAAGGTGGCTTGAACGGGAAAGTGTAACAGAGCAGCCACACTTGCCCTTGATGTGCTCTTGTATCATTGTACCCCTGTCAAGGAGCTGCTGCTTTACTGGATACTTTCATCAACTTGGAGGAACTGTGACAATAAGACTTATGAAATCCCAAGAAAGCGCAATCGATATGCAAACAATTTGGTAAGTTTTAAATTCTCACATATTCTAGAACCACGTAGACAAAGAAAAATGAAGAATAAAGAGATGAAATACTCACATCATCAAATAAAACACAGTAGGTATTGTAGAAGCATGGCAAGACCCAGAGGCAGAATCTGGTAAAGCAGCGGGCCCTCTTTAGGTGGACAGCAAAAAAGTGACCTGTCCAATGCGACCAGCAAGCTGTTCTGTCATACAGTACTGGACACGCTGCATCAACAACACGGGCTGGACGTCTGCAACACCACAAATTTCCTTGTCCCTCGTTCGTCTTCTCTGTTCCTTTTTCTCCCCCCACCACGATCCTTACGAGAGTGCCAAAATAACCATAGCCATGTTCAACGTCGACTGGATGAGCCTTGTGCTCCCATTCGCCTACCTGACTGTTCTCGGTGGCGTTTTCATGACCTTTTCCACCATCTACAGAAAGCGCAAAGCCAGTACGTTCTCTGCCCGCCTCCTCCCTCCCAGCCAATTCCAAAGGACCAGGCCCACGATGCGAGCCCTTCAGGGCGCGCAAACAGTACAGCATTATTGATCGATCTCCTTTTCTTTTAGCTCAAAGCGCCAATCTCGCACCCTGGTTCGGTCCTCATCTCCAGCGCAACATCTACCTTTCCCTGCTACACCTCGAATCCCCCGAAGAGGGCCAAGAGAAAGCCCCCAAGATCCCTTCCACTGTCATCAAGGCTGCTCTCCTCCGCCGCGCCGTCGAGGACATCCATCGCCTCGTTCAGATCCGATCCGCCAAGCAGGCGTGCAGCACGTTACTGCAGCGGGGAAGCGTCGGCGATGACCTGTGGCAGCGCTTTCAGCGTGCCGAGAAGGAGATGGAGGACGAGCTGCGCGACGTCGTGATGGAGGTTTGTAAATCCCTCTTGCACCCGGGTGGACGTTTTAAACGACAGACATGCTGACTTTTGACCAGGCCAATGCCCTCGCGCCCAACTGGGGTCAGTCCATCTTCCAATCCGCCAACGAGATCGCCGCCAACACCATCGCGCGCAACCGCCTTGAAGAGGTTGCGAACACCGTCGAGCAAGAGAAGGCATGGTGGGAGAAGCGCAGGGCAACGATCCAGACCGAATTCATGAAGGAGCTCGACGATTCCGAGAAAAACTCGACTGCCCCGCCTAGTGTCGACGGCGACGCCGTTCTCGTCGATTCCAACACCACCAGCACGCCCTCTAAGAAGAAGAAGGGCAAGAAATAGACAACAGACGTGCATTGCCCTTTCCCTCTCGTACAGCAAAAATCATATCCCCTGTCGTCACGCATTCATTCCTCCAAACCTCTCCAAATGTGGGCTAGGCGCTCCGCGGTATCTCTCAATCGTCTTCAGATACCTCATTCTCCCCGGTGTATGATACGGAAAAGTGGCGAATAATCAAGAGCATTCGACCGCTGCCCGGTTGCGTTAGGCGTTTACGGTCATGGGGCAGGGAATTTTTAGTATCATGAATGAATTGAGAACCTAAATAAGTTGGAATTTCCCCCTTGCGCTCTCGCTCTGGCCCCAAAAGAAGATCGGTCTATCGCCACCGAATGTCGTGAACCCCGCCGCCAACGCCTTTGATATGCTGTGATATCAACGCAATGCCATGCAAGAAAGCTGGTAAGTCAAAAGAAATCAAAAGCAACTGCCACAAGTGTGCATCCACCAAATAAGCCCCCCCCCCCGCCCCGCCCCGCCCCCGCGAACCGGAGTTCTCAGGACTCAACGCTCATGAGTACCAGGGCATCTTCCTCCGCAGGGCCGCCTCGTCCTCCGCCAGTCTCGCCTGCCGCGCTTCCTCCATGATCTGCTCCTCGGTCTTGATGCGTATCCGGATAGGCGTATCGCAACCTCTAGAGTTCAGTTAGTCGACTGATTCTCGAGAGGGGATGAAGGGAGGGATTAAACGGCTTTCTCGCCGTCCCCTCCCGTCCGCAACGTACCTGAGACCGATAAACTTCCCAATCTTCCTGCGCTTCTCTTCGAGGCTGAGACCCGACTGCCAGGTGATGGGGCAGGGGTACTGCCCGGACCAAGGCGAGGGGCTGCGCTGGTGGTAGAAGCGGGCGAGGTCGTCGAGCTGGTCCTCGGTAAGGAGCCAGAAGTTGAGCAGCGTCGCGGGGAAGGCCGGGTGAACGGTGCCGGTCGACATCTGCACGAGCGGGGCTAGGCGCAGCCGCATCTGCCGTACCTTGTCCTGAAAAGCCGCGTTGCGGGCCGCCCGGCGGTTGCTGATACCGCCGTTAGTCGTGTGGTGATGTCTGGTTGCCATCTTTTCTCTTCTCTTTTGCCCTTGTCTTTTGTTGATGATTCTTTTGCGCTCTTGCCTTTCCCGTCTTCTCGGTCTATTTCCTTTTGTAGATCTGGAAATAGGGGAAACCTGGGTGCCCCAGGTGGTATTCGGTTCTCAAGCAGATTTCAGGTGTGCTGTGCTGGGTGAGGAATTACAAGGTTGTCAAGGAGCTCGGCAGGCAGGAGAATGAATAAGTGTCTTGGTTGGAAGCGGAAGTGATCAAGTGACGAAAAAGGTATTCAGCAGAAATGAGCTTATGAAGAGCGTGTAATCCCAAGATATGTAGAAAATAACGATCTCCGAGGGAACAGACTGGCGTCTTTCAGTTTTGATGCTTGTTCTTTTTTCTTGCCTCTGGTCTTTTGATAAAAAAAATGATGCTCGGCCCTTTCACAATAGGAAGTCTATGCCTGCACAGATCAACAGCAAATGGAATGTGTGCGAATAGATGTCTATAGGTCTGAAGATAGGAAACGGGTGCCAAAGATGTGAAGTGTGAGAAGATATCGAGTCCAATCCTCCCAAGAATACCGAGTGGAAAACTCGCATTCTTGTATGCAAAGTCACCGCAAAGGAAGGTAGATGGGTCCCGGCCACTAGCCGGCCAAAATCCTCATCCCATACCGTTCCCCCCTTGTCTTCCTTTGAAGGTCGGAACGGCAACACGACCAGAGACAACAACAAATGACCCAAAAGGGCAATGGAGAGAAAAAAAAATTACATGATGACCCTAAAGGCTGGTCTAAAAACCGGTAGCAGAGAAAGAGTAAACCGTCAGGTCCAGGCTCTTGGCCTCCGCCCAAACAAACGAACCGAACAGCTGGGACCCGAGGAGAAGAGAGGGCTGCGGCAGTGGAAGGAAACTAACGCGTCAGGCGAGACACAACTTCTTTGTCCACTGGCGGCCAGAGTTTGCCATTCTGGGTAAGGTCCGCGAGGACAACAAGTCTGTCGCTTTTCGCTAAACAGCCCCCTTTCCATCCAGTCGGTTCTGCTGGGAGCGCGGTGCACCTCCTTCCCCTATGATCTTCTTTATCTCCTCGACACGCCCAAAGAACATGAGACATGGCAGAAAGTGGGGAGGAAGGATGAAGATAATGGTGGGCTGACATCCTGTTGCGTATGGATGTCTGCGAAAAAAGCCAGTTGGCCGGCCTAGAAACGTATCTCGCGCCGGCCGCAACGGGAAACCAGCTCCGCCCCGACTATGGAGGTTCCGAGACAACATCCGCCCCTCTCCACTATGCTCCTTCTCTCTCACCATGGCCGGCAGTTCTCTGAGCCGTGCTATTGGCAGCTCGCGGGCGGAGTCAGGATTTGTAGACAAAGGCTGGTTACCCAGTTCCATGGCGGTCTGCACAACGAGACAAAGGCTGCATGAAAACACAATGGTCTTGTTGAAGACAAAATCAGCCGTGAAGAATGTCGTTTTCGACATAAACACGTCCGAGTCAATGACAAATTCCTCGAGAGAGACATCTGCGTACTCCCCCACCGTACCCAGACCCGTCGCCTAGCACATCTCAATCATAGAAAAGTCACAATATTCACTGATTGATTCAAGAGCAGAATTCGCCTCCTTATTCTTGACAAAAGCTTTTTTTTCTATTTTTTTTTTTTCTATATATATGTAAATTGGACCTCGAATTTTTGCTCCGCTCAATACCTTTCCCCTGTGGAATTGCAGGATTGACGTGCGTTCTCACGTCATGGCCCCGTTTCGCAGCTGCAAGGCGCTGTCGTCGGCTCTTTCAGCTTCTCAAAGCCACTTGATCTTGGCAATGTGGTCCGTCTTCTTTCTGCTCGCCTTCACAAAGCCGAGAGCCTTTAGCTCGGCAAGTCCCCGATAGAAGAGGACCAGAGCCGCCCGCTCATCGGCGTTCCCTTCGCTCTCTGCGTCGTCACCGCCGCCCACCATGGCGTAGAATGCAGACCACAGGTCCGCGACGTTGATGAGGTTGCCCGTCTCCAAGTACAAATGATACAGCAGCGAAGTAACGGGCAATGTGGTCGAGATGCCCTCTTCTGTGCTGCAGCACGCGCACGCGAGGTAGTCCTGCGGTCGCTTCAGGCTCCGCTCAAAGACATCCTGGGGACGGGGTACGAAAACGTCGCGGTAGGGTGTCTTGGAATCGTATAGCCATGTCTCGTGCAGGAAAACACTTGCAGCCGGCTCGCAGCGTATGATGTCTTGCAAAAGCTCCGCAATACGGTCCACGATCTCGGTAAAAGCTTTGTCGTCTTCGGAAAGCGCAGCCGAATCGTGGCTGAGTTGCACCTTTTGCGCAACAACAGTGGTACGGAGAACTCTGCTGTGGCCACTGTACGCGCTCCTCAAGGTGGTGCCACCCTCTTGCGCCCTGCTTACTAACTCCTTTGACCTGTCGAGGAGGGTCTGTACAAGAGATGGCGTGTCCCCGGCCTCGGACTCCCATCCGGCGAGACATAAGTGGTCATCTCCACAAGTTATGGTCTCACGAATATGTTGGAGCATCGAGACAAACTCATCCGCTTGCATCCGCTTGATGCTTTCAATCATGTCCCAGTCGTCGGTCGCAAGGTTGATGCCCTCGGCCACCGCTTTCATGTATATCGAGAGAAAGTCTTCTTGGCTAACACCCATTGCCTGGACAAGCTTAAGCGAGCGGAGGAGACGAGTCACCCATTCGCGTTTCTTCTCTGGAATATCAAAAATCTTTTCGCGTAGTAGGTTGTCATCCTCCAACAAAGACCTCGCTAATCTCAAATCTTTGCCCTCGACGGCGCTTTCGACCTCGTGCCGAAACGAAGGGAGCGATCGGAGAGCCTCGAGGTGTTCGTTTTGCACAAGTTCGCTGTTCATCTCGTCGTCCTCCGTCGAAAACAGGCTCAACGGGTTAGCATAAAAGTGGCACATATATGCATACTAAGACAGGTCAACACAACTGCTCTTGAATACAGTGCTCATTCTCACCTTGATTGAAGCCACAAATGATTGGATGCTCGCAACCTGGTCCTGTTGTCGGACAACCAGGCTTTGCAACAAGGTCTGGCCGAGGGTGAGAGCGGCATCGGTTCCTGCAATAGCCGCCTTGAAAATTTGCTCCAAGATGACCTCGGTTTGCACAACGTCAAACTGAGCGCCGTAGAGATGCTGGCATGCAGATTTGAGTAGACGAGCTTGAAGTAGCTCTACTGACGTCGCAATGCCGAACAGGAGTGTGAACGGGATCTTGGGTCGCCAGGAACTAGGTGGCCAAAATGTCAACTCAGATTCGAGAACATGTGCGAAGCCGACTTACTCGAAGAGTGTAATCAAGTCAGACAGGAGGGCGCTATCAAATCCTTCGCTGTCTTGAAACGCAACAAAAATGTGATCGCACTGCTGTGCCTTTGAATAGTCATAAAGCCCTTCGAGGTCGTAGTTCAAATACCTTCGCCCCTAAAATCTGTAAGCTTTCATGAGGTAATTACTGACGGCAAATGAACGTACATCTTGACCGAGTGAGATCTCGACATCCTCGTCATCCAGAGAGCCCCGCGAGGTGGCATCCTCAATGATCTTTTTGAGAGCAGCCTTTAGGTTGGTGGCCTCGGACGACTTCAGGCGTACAAATTTGCTTCGCGTGTTCTCCTCAAGGGTTTCTGATAGCTGTTCAAACAGTAGATCCTGGGATGAAATATTGGGTCCAGTGATGATGAAGGCTGAGGAAATCTTGTTTCTGCGGCGGGTTGTCAGCCGTGGACTCTGCGAGAAATTGGATATACGCACTGAGGGCAAGGTTGATCCCGGAAAAAGGCCGTTACCTGGTCCAACGTAGCCGAGTTGGAATCGCGCAGGATTTTCTGTAGCATCTTGCAGTCAGTTGTTGCCCCCCAGAAATCCAGGGTGTGGGGATCTGCCGACCTGGATTTCAGATTCGAGACGGCCCCAACTGGTCCGGAACAGCTTCTCGCGCAACTTCACGCACTCAGCCAGCTCGCTCCCATTCAGCAACGGTGCAAAAGTCGAAGCATCGGCGACATTGGCCTCTTCAATCACCGCATTCTTGGATACACGCCGACGTTTGGTAGGTCGATCTGCTACAGCTTCCTCGCCCTTGAGTCGGAAGATGTAGGCTGCCTAGGGAGAAGAGTTAGCAACGGGATCCTTTTCCGTCTTGATAATCGCTAACCTGGTGATCTTCTTGTCTAAATTGAGACTCTTGGCTGTCTTCGCCGCTCATTTTGCGGGTTGTTACTTCGGTCCTGCTGTGATACTGAATGTCGTCGCAGTAGGAGTCGCGCTTTTGGGACTGGCACGCGTCGCATGCACAGAAGGTACAGAGCACAGTCAGATACAGTGTCGACATGGATGTAACCTGTGCAGAGGGGGGCGGTGTATATCCTCTCTGCACAGTGTCGGAAACCAATTGGCAGCACTCACACCAGAAACCTAGCTACTAGATCAGGCGGACAACATTCACAAAGTACATGCGCGACTGTCAAGGAGTTGTTTCTTGCAAAATAATATTAGAACCAATGCACCGAGGCCGTGTTAAACTAGTGACTACCAGTCTTGTCCGCTCCCGCCTTCGCAAAACAAAACCTGAGGCGATCTCCATTTTACCTCCAAAACCTGAGGCCAATGACATCCTACCTCTGCTTCATCATAACCTGAAGAAGAGCCGCACGCAGACAATGCAAGCATCTACGGATGCCCCAACTTTCTCCCCCGACCTGGGTTCCTCTCCCTTGGGCCTTGGGGAAGCCTCCGCCCCTTTGTACACTGAACCCACTTCGCTGGACGAAGAAGCATGTCGTCTGAAATGAGGGATCGCCGCAACCACCTGCCATCTCATGCTTCCCAGCTGCACTCCTTAAAAAGACGGGGGCGAATAATTTTACACCGAAACCAAGTCGAGATCGCTTTTGCGATTTAAGAAACCGTATACGCCAGGAAACGCAAAAGGCCAGGCCCCGGTGGCCTGCGACGCCCACATACGTCTGGACCCATGTCTTCACTCTCGAGAACTTCTGCGATATAAACGGCAGGCCTAAGCCTTGGCCTCGACTGGTTCTGGGGCTGCAGGTGCCGGCTACAAACAAGGTTAGCTACCGTTAACATGTGCAAGAGGCACACTGCCATTTACCTCTTCAGCGGACTTCTCAACCGATTCAGCAGCATTTTTGGGCGCCTCTTCTGCCGTCTCAGGCTCCACGGACTTCTTGTTCTTTTGCTCCTTGTCCTCCTTATCGGCGGGCTTGTCAGCCTCATTGGACTTCTCCGTGCCCTTGCTCGCCTCCTTTGAACCCTCGGAGGCAGCAGGCGTGTCCTTCTTCTCCTCACCCTTGGTTCCATTGACACCATTGGTGGGCGCAGGGGTTACAGATGCTGCCGCAGCATTGCCTCCGGCTAATATCTCGGTCCACTTGTCCAGTAGCGTCTGCGACCGGCTCTTGAAATGGAACTCTTCTTCCTTCGGAATCGTCTCAAGCTTCAAGATGGCCTTCAGGACCTTGTTGATCTTGGTTGCGCGGATGATCGAGACCTCGAGGTCTGCAAAACTCTCGAGTTTGGTGATGTATTCCGACATCAACTTCATCTCTTCCTCCTTGGGCTCTTGGTCTCTCGTCAGGAGACCCTTCTGGAGCTTGTGACGCAGGAAAAGAACCTCTTTCTGTAGAAGCTGTCAGCATTGGACAAAGAGCATACGGGGTCTTGACTTACCTCTTTGCGATGGTGCTTCTCTTCAGCAGTGAGCTCGGGCTCCTTGGGAGTCACCTTTTCTGCCTTTTTCTCGACGCCGTCCTTCTTTGCCGATTTGGGCTTTGGCGGCTTTGCAGCCGATTCCTTGCCAGACTTCGGTGTTGCTGTGCCGTTCGTTGTCTTGGGGGTGGAGGATGTGTTCAGCTTGATCTTTGGCTTCTTGGCGGAGTCTGTCCGTGCCGGAGTCTGAAGAGGATGTCAGCAGTTGTTTAAGTTTGTCCGGGGCTTGCACACTAACGCTGACAGCTTCCTCATCAGCCTTACGCTTCTTAGTCTTAGTTTTCTCCTTGGAATCAGCGACGTCTTCTTCGGCAGCATCAGCCATGTCAACATCCTCATCCTCAATGACCGCAGGAGCCTTCTTCTTGTTCTTCTTTGCAGCTTCTCTGGCATCCTTGGCAGCCTGCTTCTGAGCGAGCTCGTCTTGGTACTTCTGCAGTTCGTCCTTGTAATGATCGAGCGGGTGCTGTTCAATGGCTAGTTCAAAGGCGTCACGCAGCTCAACCTTCTTCACCTTGTCAGTAAGAAGCTCGGTGGCCTTTTCAGAGGATAACTCCTGAAGCGCAGAGTTTGGTACCCAGCCGCTGGAAAATTGCAGGTTAGCTGTTGATCCTTGTAGACATACAGATGCTAGCTGGGGCAATTTGACGTACAATTCGTTCGTGCGAAGGTACATGACAGGGAACGTGCGGTCGTTCTGTCGCTTGCCACCATCGGCATAGTCCTCACGATATGTGCCATCAGCACGCTTTGCTGTGACGGGGCGACTCTTGAGCAAGGTCTCAGGCAGCATCTCCTCATCGCAGATAATTACGGGCCATTGAGGATATCCCTTGAGCTTGACAAGGAAGTGATCCCCAGGCTGCGCATTGGTGTGGAAGAACTTGGCCTTGGAAGCCTTCTTGTTGAGCTTCTTTCCTTTATGCTCTGAAATGCCGGACGACCTGCGACGGGACTTGGACTTATCGGCTGTCGCATCAGCAGCGTCAGCATCAGCAGCAGCGTTCTCGGAAGCGTCCTTGGCCTCGGATGCATCAGTGGTATCCTTCATATCGACATCCGCATCTTCGTCCTTGGATGGCTCATCCGTTTTACCGGATGATTCCGCGTCTTTGGTGTCAGCTGTTATTCAACACTGCGTCAGTAAAAAGAATCGATCGCGCGATGGCAGTGTTGATGACGTGGTGAAGATGACGCGTAGGGATTGGTTACAGTTTGTCTTTTTGGCGCCCTCTTCCTGCGCCTCCTCGGTGTTGCCCTCAGCAACTGCGTCGGACTCGGATGTTTTCGCGTCGGCGGCGGCAGGTGCTGCGGAAGCTTCGGCGGTAGACGAGGTTTCCTGAACCTTCTTCTCGACCTCCTCCTTCGTGGCAGGCGCGGATTGACCGCTGGTGGTCGGCTCGTCAGACATTGCAGTTGATGGAGCAATAGCTCGGTAGGAGCTGATAGGGAGCAAGGGTATGGATGGGGTAAATTGGCAAGTCGCGACGCCAAAGGCTTAATGCGATGAACTAAAGGAAGGATGACGCGTTCTGATACGCGCGGTTCGTGATTTTTGGTTGTCGCGACGATGATAGGAGATGTTCAGGCGGAAAGGAGGATGATGGGCGCAATTGGGAGCTCCCCGTGTTGTGGTGGCAGAAAGGGACGATGGGAAAAGATGAACGCAGAATCTTGGAGTTCGACGCGGATGACGGCGGCAGGACGGACACGTGACCGTGCTGATCCACAAGGCAGTTAAATCGCGTCCACGGGTGCTATCAGTCTCAGTGCTTGCGCTGTGGGAGAGGAGTGTGCTAGACGTGGGACGTGACCCGGTCAATGCCCAGCCCACCGAGCCGAACATCCTCTCATTGCTTGCTTAACACATCCACCCTTCCTCCTCCATCCTTCTATATCACAGCCCATCCCCTTTTCAATACCCTTGGAAGAGATGAACCGCCCTACAGAAACCTCGCCTTCCATTTTTTTTCTTCGTCTTCAGAATATTTTGACGTGCTGGTTGTGCCTCGCCTTCTCGAAGGCCACGGTCCAACAAACGTGTCCCACCCACTCTGGATCCTATGTTATCTTTGGCCACTCAAGCACCACCCTCCGAAACTACTGTCACACCGTACACAGTCTGCACAACCAGACCTCAGGCCACTCAACCCTGCCGAAAGAGGAGAAGAGTTGCCTGTAAGTGTCGAGCATCGGGAAGAAGAACTGACTCCGGCCAAATATTTGTCTATTATCCTCCAACTCCTCTCTCGATCCATATAGTACACATTGAGATATCGTACGGACGGGATGGCTCTGCTATCTTTCGAGCCGTCTATTCCTCGTCTTCTTCTTCGTCGCTGTCGTCCACGTCCATGCCCTCCGCGGCTGTGATGGAAAACTCGCGTTCTTGGTCTACTCCAACGTAGCTGTCGCTCATTAGGAACAGCTTAAGGTCGTGCTTACCAGCCGTTGGTACTGTGAATTCCAACTTGACCTTGAGCTCGCGTCCGATTGTGACGCGCTTGATGGCAAGCAAGTTCTTCGTCGTCTCCTCGCCGACCACAAGCCACCAGTTCTCCAATTTCTTGGCAGGGTAGAACGGCGCGTGCACAGTCGGGTTAAACTCGTCGTCCTCGTCCACCTGCCGTTGAATCTGCACACTGACATATGCCGGTTCGTTAGCCCGAATCTCCTCCTCGTCAAGAATGCTGTGCTCGAGCTCAATATCAGGGTATTTGTCATTGGTAAAGGCGGCGGCCTCCCCCAGTTGCTTTTGTGAGAGACTAAGACGTTTGACGAGCTTGGCGTAGTCTGGGTTCTCATCAGGGTTCATGGCCTCCATGAAATCGAAAATGTCCTTGACGCTGTGAAAGAAATCGAGGTTAGCTCCATGTGGGATCAAAGATAACAACAGTACATACCCGAACTCATTCGCCGCCTTCACGACCTCGGGCGTGAAGTGAGGGATCTGCTTCAAGGGGCTGTCGCGGTCCCACATCGCCTGCACAACCATTTGTGACATTTCCATCGCGTTCATGGCATTGAGGTGACCGTCGGAAGAGAGGATGTCAACCGTAGCGCTCAGGAGACTGAGGACCTTGGAGATGATCACCTCTTGGTCTTTGGCCAGGTCAATTGGCAGCTGCATCCTGGAGAAGTGTGCTTGGAGAAGAACAAAGGCCTTGAAATGCGCCGAATCGTATACGGGCTCAGCCATCTTGACAGGAATGCGGTCGTAGATACGGCGGAGGATACCCTCCTCGTGCCTCCTGATCTGTATGGCCTCGAATTCGGTAGCCGACGTGATGATTTCAAGGACGCCCTTGAGCTTTGTCTTGGCACTGAGAGATAGAAGGAAAGTCTGCATCGTAATGTAGGAGATGTTGTAGTAGGCAGCAATCATCGCTGCATTCTGCGGCGCCACTGAACCGTCATCCTCATCAAGCTCAATGATCTTCGAGTCACTCAGCTCCTGTAGGGTTGTCTGGATCAAATCGGACATGTAATCGCTGAGGCCGTCTTGTGTGGTGCTAGTAAGACTGTAGAAGCTGGGGTTCGCGAGGAGACGTCTGTAGAAGTAGGTGAATGTCGTCCAGTTGATGGCGTCGTCTCCTGACTCGATCATCTTGGTGCTGATCTCGGTCACAAAGGCATCGTGGAGGTAGTTGTGTAAATGAGACTCGACAGGAAGGGCTTCATTCAGGAACTTCTTGTAGAAGTCTCTCTTTGCTGCTGGGAGCATGAGAACACCTCTGCCTCTGCCATCCTTCGAGGCGCGCAGAGCCTTGCCGAGCATGTGCAAGATCTCGCTCAAAGAATAATCGATGTAACGGTGCTCTCGGCCTTCGAAGTACTGCGTACCCATGACAACAACAAGATGGGCGGTACTGTTCAATTCCCAGCAAACATCACGAGAAGCGACCAGAACTTGAATGGCGCCGTGCTCGTACAAGTGTTTGACGATGCGCTTGTCACTCTGACTCAGAGCCTCATGATAGTATCCGACACCGTGAGAAAGGGCCTCGGCCAGAGCTTCCTCGTTGACGCGGTCAAGAAGAGGGCGCATCTGCTCAACCTCGGCGTGCAGGAAGCGATCTTCGTCGTCGTCCATAAAGGCTGCGGTCAGGAGGTCGCGAGTCGTGGCTCGGGTTTGCTTTCGACTCGGCACGAACACAATGGCTGGCTTGTCTGCAGACATCTGGGTGATAGCCAGGTAGGTGGGCTTCGCCATGGAAAGCATTAATGAGGGGAAGTGAGGGTTGGTGTATGACTGGATGTGAAGTTCGAGAGGGACGGGGCGAACGTGGGGGCTGAAGTTGTAGATGTCATGCTTCTTCGCATCGATCCACTCTCCAAGGTCGCGAGCATTCGCAAGAGAAACGCCGAGAGCAATGATTCTCATCGGGAGTTCGGTCTGAGTTCTGATATAGTGCATCCTTGAAACGATGATTTCATAGACGTAACCCATTTGGTTGCCCAAGAGATGAACCTCGTCCGCAATGAAAAGTTCCACAGTCGAGACGTTCTTGCGGCGCTTCCACTGGCGGGAAAGCACATCCCACTGAATGGGCGTTGCAAGGACTAAGTCGCTGCGCTCCAGAATCTTCAAATCCGTGGTGGTCTCTCCTGTGAGCTTCTCGATTGTCTTGCCCCCGCGTAGACCACCGAGTCTCTTCTGCCAATCATCCAGTCTAAGGTCAACAAGCTCTTGGAATGGTGCAATGTAAACAGCGCGACCGGCGTCTACCTTGGCCCAATGGCGCAACAGAGCGAACTCAGCGCACACAGTCTTGCCACTGCCAGTCGGTGCACCCACGAACACGTTTTGGTCGGTATTGTATAGGGAATTGAAAGTCTGTGTCTGGATACGGTTAAAGTGATCCCAATTAGGATACAGCTTCGTGTATTCCTTGGCTTTCAAAGCAGCAACGGGTAGCGGCTGAAGCTCAAGGAGTTCAGTGTGAGGTGGAAACCTCTCGGGCAGTATAAGCTTGTGAAAAGACACCGGCAACCTCGTCTCGGAATGCATCCAGCGATCCGAGATGACAGAGATGAAGTAGTTGGGGGGCATTGGCTCCGTGATTGGCACGGTGAAGTCGACAATGTGCTCGTTTGACTCGGACTCGGCGTACTCCTTGCGCAGCAGGAACTGATCGCTGAAAAGAATATCCTCCCCGTCGCAGTCCTCTACAAAGATCCAGAAACTCTCCGCGGGACCGTGGACCTCAACGTCCCACTCGAAATTAGGGGAGATGCTTAGTTCAACTCGGAGCATGGACCTGGTCAACGGCTGGACTTGAGCCTGAACCTCAACTCTAGGAAACTTGGCTACCAGACTGCAGACAGTCCTGCCGGCCTTGGGCATACCAAGTAGCTCTCCCATGCGAGGAGGGTCGAGATCGAAGTAATTGCTCCAGGACACTTCGATCCTCTCCGCCTTCTGCACAATGTCTCTGGGGCAGCCGGGAAACTGACGGAGTGGTGACATAGTCGGCCACATTCGCTTCTCGGCCATCTTGCAGAGATCCAGAGCAGTCTTAGCCACGGATGCCCAGCCCTTCTTCATGGTAATTTCGAAGATGGCGCGAAGAATACGGCCAGCGGATTGCGTGACGTACACCATATCGGCCATAAGAGCAAGGCCATCCAGCTTGAGTCGCGAGATATAAGCTTGTAGGAGTACGTTGATCTTGGCGTGTGGTTCTTCGATGCTCTCCTTTACTGGGATGGGGACTCTGCCCAAGAGCTTCGCGAGCTCGAGTTTCTCGTCCTGGCGCACAGGGATGTACTTAAACTCTGCGCTGAGAGAGAACACCCTGAAAAGCTCAATGGTGGTGATCGAGGGCTGAATGAGGTTGTTGTAGGTCTCCATAGAACCGTGAGTGATGTAGTAGTGTGACGCAATACGGCCAAGCTCCGTTGATTGAAGCTTGCCAGTCTTCTCGTCATACTTGACGAGATTTGACTTTCTGAGCACTGATGCAGCGGAGTGAATGAGATCGACCCGCTTCTGTTCAAGAGCTTCATCGTCTTCGTACTCTGCCCCGACTTGGTACAGGCCGGGTGACCGCAGCATGCGCACGAACAAGTACGTGTAGCCAAGCCATTCCACACCCTCATCTCTACTCCTGACATTGCCAAGCACTACCTCGGCGTTCAGATTATCAACAAGCCGGCTGACAAACTGACTCTCAATCGGCAGCTGTTGATTTAGAAGAGAGAGGTAATACTGGATCTCGTTTTGAGTTGTAATGATGATGCCCTCGCCGTATGTATCAAATTGCGGCCGGCCGGCACGACCAAGCATCTGCAACACGTCTTGTGGGCTAAGTTCGACCCAGCTGCCCTTCTCCGGAGAGTAAACCGAAGTGCCCTTGATGATAACTGTGTGAGCAGGCAAGTTGACACCCCAGGCAAGAGTGGCCGTGCACACAAGGACCTGGATAGCGCCACGGGCGAACAGGTCCTCGACATCAGTACGGTCGATACGGTTCATACCAGCATGATGGATACCAAAACCGTAAGGCAGGAGATCCTTGAGGTCCTTGTCAGTGGCTTGGCTCGCTGCTTCGTTAAGGACCTCACGGCTTCCAGCATCGTGGCGAAGGATTTGGTTGATGGTGTCCATCTCCAACGCCTTGTCCCTGATGTAACGCGCTGTCTTGGCCGTCTCCTTTCGAGAATGGACGAAGATGAGCATTTGATTCCGGTTCGCTCCAACATGCTCGATGACTTTATTGTACGTGACGTCGTTCATGGTCTTCAGTTGCTTGATGGCCTTGCGATCCGTGACACCAATGAATTCCTGTCGCAGAGGGCAAGGACGGAAGCTGCCATCGAAGTGGAAAAGGCCGGTGTTGATATCCACGCGCAAAAAGCTAGCAACATCCTTGTAGTTAGGCAGCGTAGCAGACAGGCCAACTAGGCGGACGGGTTCGCCGGTCTGTTCAGTCTTTCTGATAGTCCTGCTAACAATGCTTTCTAGGACAGGGCCACGGTCATCATGAAGCAAATGAATCTCATCGATGATGACAAGGCGGACGAGATTGGTGTATGTAAGATCAGTAGCCTTTCGCGTGATGACGTCCCACTTCTCGGGAGTGGTGACGATGATCTGTGTTTCTGCGATTTGTTGCTTGGTAAGTTGTCGGTCACCAGTCAACTCAGAGACCTTCACACCGTAGGGTTCAAGTCGCTTGCCAAAGTTGCCAACCTGCTCCTGTACCAGCGCTTTCAAGGGCGCGATGTACACGATCTTGAAAGCATCCAAATCGATGTCACCTGTCTCGGGATTGCGGTTCTTGCCGATTTCTCGAAGAATGGTGAGCATTGCCACGTTCGTTTTTCCACTACCAGTAGGGGCACAAATAAGCATGTTGCCATCGTCTCCAAATGCTGTCGGGTAGCACTTGGACTGGATCTTGTTTAGGGATTTGGTGGTGCCGAATGGCAAGCGTGACCATTCGGGCATTTCGGTAATAGGAACGAGTGTGTCACTGGGGTCACTGCGCTTCTTGGGTGCGGGGACGTGGATTTCCTCATAGCCCTTGAAAGTGCGTTTCGTGGAGCCCTCCGGCAGCCTGACCTTGGGGTTGCTCATCAAATGGTTGCCCTGGTCAAAGACCAAGTTCTCCAGGTTGATAAGTTTCCGCGGTTGCAGACCACCCTTAAGTCCTTGGGGGCGTTCTGATTCTGCAGGAGGTGCGTTTGCGAGGGACGACGGTGCGTCGAGGTCCATTTTGATCTCCATCTTGCGACCCTTTTGGTCGTCCGTCTTCTTCCCCAACTTCTCATTCAGGATCCACTGAAGGCCTTCGGAAGCCATCTCGCGCTCGATAACAGCCCGCTCCTCGTCTGTCTCAGCTCTTGAGTGACGAGTAAGCCAGACCACCTTCTCTCTGTTTTCAATAAGAAGTTGCACCAGTTCGTGGTGCTCGTAGTCGAACAGCTCCATGAGATCGTTTTCAATCTCTCGAAGAGACTTCTCGTCACCACCCTGCTCATCAGGCTCGCCAGAGAGCAGACGCAGCGCATCTGTCGTCTTGTCGTGTTGCTCGTGAGAATCGGCGTAGAGCTTTCCAATTTGTCGCTGCAACCAGAATGCATCTATATCTCTAGCAGAGATTGTCTTTGACTGCTTCGCATCCTGCGTTTGCTTTTTCGGGGCCGAATCGATGACCATGGCGTCGTCGTCCGGTTCCTCCGTCTCTTGGGCGTCAGCGGCGGGCTGGTCCTCGTCCTCGTCCGCATCTTCGTCTTCTGAAGATTCTTCCCTGACCTCATTGACAATGCCTCCCTCTTCATCTTCTGAATCTTCGAAAACGACAGCGACGCCTTGTCTCTCATCGAGCTCGTCTCCGTCGGCGTCGGCTGCATTATCGTCCATATCTTCATCCTCGTCCTGCGCGTCGTAATCTGTGATCTTCTTTCCCAGGTTTACGAGCTCGTTGAATTCCTTTGCGCTCATTGAGACGCCCAAGAGGTCGTCGACCTCCCTCTTCTTCTCCGTGTCCTTCAGGTCGTCATCTTTGAGAAATTCTAAGGTCACGTCGGCGGCGCTGATCACGGCGGTCTGAGGGACGTCGCCAAGGTTGTCGGACACGATCTTCAGAATCAGTTCAAAGGTTGCTCGTGTTGCGGGCGTGCGTGGACGATATCGAATGCCTTCGACAAGCAAGTCTCCAGTTCCCAGGACACCAGCACCTCTCGGTTGCGCCACCTCACCCTTCTTCTTCCGCTGCTCGCGCGCGAGCACATCCTCTCCCTCTTGCAACTTCCCGCGTTCAACGTCGGGAAGACCCGTTGGCTTCTTCTGCTTTGGTGCCGTTTCACGAGCGACGCGTGCTCCCATGTCGCGGATGCTCAGCTTGCCGGCGAGAGACTCGGGGTCGCCTGTGGCCTCGTCGTTTCGTCTCGACACGAACCGGCGGTCCGCCTGGAGAACCAGGTTGGACATCGCCGAGTACTTGTACTGGGATACATCGCGGTGTTGATCCTGATTCGACATCTTGGCTGTGTATTTACGGGTATTCTATCGTGTCGTTTGCACCTGAATCTCGAATTGTTGTAGGAGCTTGTCAAGCGACAGCAACGAACGGCTTGCGCCGAGCCTTTATCCTGTTGGAAACGCCGTGTTCGCTTCGAAGTCTAGCTCATCCGTTCAGATATTAAAGTAATGAATTTTGTTTCGGTCTTCAACGACTCAATGAGAAGGCTGTCGCTGAGTGGCTAAAGTGGGCGGAGGCGTGTATTGGTGTCTTCGACGCCTGTCGCGCGAACAAATTTCGTCTGCTGCTTGCGATGGCAAAACCGGAGGAGAATGATGGCGCTAAGCGATAAACGCGCTAGCGGCCTTTCGACTCAGGCAGATAGCTGCACGTGACGTTGGACATCGACACAGGGTGGACCAGTAAGGCCAATCCAATCCACACCACCCCTGAACTCATCGAGCTGTGTAAATCATGAGTCTGCCAATTGTCACAACGCGAATGACGAGAGTAATCTCGGCGCTATACACAAACGGCGGTAGCCCAAAGCATACGAAGAAACCGGACATGTGTTATATGTCTTGAGTGTTAGCAGGAAACAACATGGATTCTGTACCCAAATCAATACAGAAGGTCCAGGCATCACTTGAGCCTTACATCAAATCACGGGAGCAAGTGGCCTACATTCGACGCGCCTTAGCTCTTCACCTTCAAGCTTGTGGCCAGCCCAGTTCAATCCAGAAGCCACTCTCACTCATCGATTCCTCGTGCAGAGTTACACCGACGCAAGAGGTTAGAGGCTTACAAAAGGAATATCTCAGAGCACTGGACGCCAACCTCAAGGCTCGCAATGAGTACGAGAACGCAAGAAATGAAACGATGACAGCCCCTTCTTCCCGGCCCAAAAATGCCGATACCAAAGACCAGGTCGAAGAGCACGTTACTCTCGTCAAGTTGCGACAGAAACGCCAACGCCTACAGACGGTACAGAAATACCTGGATCTGTTGATGCGCCAACCTGCAGCATCTCCGGACTTTCTCGACCCGGATGACATATTCAAAAACTCACCCCTTCTTCCAAATGTGCCCGAAGAAGTTTTGAGCGGCTTTACAGTCAGTGCGAGCACTACCAAAACGGACCTAGGTGGGCTGGCTGGTCAGTTGGAAAAGGTCGTGCTCAGGGCCAAGTTGCTCCTGCAACGTGAGGAACAGCTTTTGGCAGATGTTCGACAGAGGACGGGGGCCTTGGCAGGCCAAGTCAGTGACGATGCAAAGGTGCATGCTCTGGATACGACTCGAACAGAGCTGATCAACTGGATCGAGGCTGAGCTCAGCAAAGCGTCGGGAGAGTCGGATGATAATGCAGCGACAGAGAGAAACGGGTTCAACTCCCGTACTGAACAAGAGACTATCGACCAACATTTAGCCGAGATCAGGGACAAATACAACAGATACACGGCAGCGAGAAAAGCAGTACTCAGCCTCGTCTCAGAACCGACACAGCCGGTTCTGAAACCCGGGGGCGAGGGCACAACCAGCTCTGGCCAAAGCCAGAGTGTACCAGCGGCACCGGCCGCCCACCTCCTCATTCCTTACCTCGACAAGCTTCTCTCCTTGTCGCGGGAACAAAAGGGCATGATAACACAAAAGTCACACGTTCATGCCGTTGTGGCCAAGCAGGCCAAAGAAACTCAGCAGGCACTTGACCACCTCGCCGAAGAAAGCCAGCTTCTCCCGGAGCACCCCATGTCTGGCGCAGGCAGGCCAAAGTCTGGCTTCGGAGAGGACTTCTCCGCCGCCATGTCTGAGAAACCGACGTCTTCGGATCGCGTTAAGCCCTGGATGTTCGCGGCAGACTCAGCAAAAATTGCTACACTGGAAGCAGTTGCTGAAAAGATCGAGGAGGGCCAGGTCGCGCTGGAAGGGTCTATGGCGGCGCTTCAGGAAGTCGATAAACTGCTGGGCCAAGGACCCGAGGAGCCTGAGAAGGAAGCAGGGGGGGATGCGACGGAGGAAGACATTTGGCTGTCGCAAGGGTCGGCCAACAAGACGGACACAAGGAAGCATGCGACCCATCAGAGGAAGGAATCAATGGTTAACCCTAACGACATCTGGTCTGCCATCGATGGAAAACTTGGTCTCATCGGATAAGAAAATGAAATTTGAAGAAAGCCCGAATGTGGTATATACCCTGTACAGTTTGGTTCTCTTTTTTGCATACCATTATCAACGCCTCTACTGTCCAGATCCGGACGCCAGTCGTTGTTCGTCAAATCCATTCACAGCTACTCCGGATGACTAGTTGTTGCCTCGTCCACTCATAACCCCTGATATCCTCAAGGCAAGGTCAAGGATGGTCAAGTGCTCATCCGCACCATCGACGAGTCTCTTATCAACTTCGGAGAAGATAAGAACGATCTTATTCTTCTGAACATCTGGAATTGTCTCGTCGAAAACGATGGATTGGTAGAGCTGCACATTGGTAAATAGGCGGGTTTCGATTTCGTAGAAATGAGCGACTTACCTGCGTAACGACTTGCCCGGCGCTCCAGCCATCAGCAACCATATCTTCAACCACCTTTGCCACAGTCTGGTATGTGTCTATGGTGCCCTGTGGACGTATGGCACTGACGAGCTCGTCAATTGTGTTTTCGGGGATGACTCCAGCAATATCCTCAACGATCTTAACAGTGACAGGTTTCTTGTCGACATCCATGGCATCATCCCCAGTGTCCTTGTCTCCAGCACCCACCAGCCGCGCTGCACTCTGCAGGTATGTGATGGCCTTGCGTAAATCACCCTCGCTGCACTTGATGAGCGCATCCACGGCGCCATCCTCCAGCTGCACCCCTTCGTTCTCGGCAATATCCCGAAGTCGCTTCTTGGCGTTACCTTGGTCTAAGCTCTTGAAGCGAAACTTGCTGCAACGACTAGCAAGAGGGTCAATGATGCGCGTGACATAGTTGCAGATTAGGCAAAATCGCGTGATCTTGCTATATGTCTCCATGGTCCGACGGAGGGCGCTCTGAGCGTCCTGTGTCATCGAATCGGCCTCGTCGAGGATGATGATCTTGAAGGGCGGGCAAGGATATCTCTTCTTGTATTCGTTCGTCGGGTTCGTCAATTGCATGCGAGCAAAGTCCTTTACCTTCTCTCGAACGATGGAGATTCCACGCTCGTCGGAAGCATTTAGTTCGAGCACTCGCGACTTGATCATATCAGGACCGTAGAGCTCTTTAGCTAGGGCCAGAACTGTCGATGTCTTTCCCGTACCGGGCGGGCCGTAGAAGAGCATGTGAGGGAGCTGCGTGCATAAGTCAGCTTTTTACAGAGCCCAAATGTCGAATCGCGCAGGGCAGTCATACGTTGGAGGCTTGCAGCGTTCTCTGCAAAACGGTGACGGTGTGGTCTTGTGCCGTGACATCGCTGAGGGTTTTTGGGCGACTTTCGCAGAAGGTCAACATGCGAAAACAGAGGAAGGTATCTTGAGAGCTGTGAATGGGGAGACGAACTATTTTTCAACCCAGGGCTGTGCCCTCGGTGGCTGCGCAGATTTCTCTTGTTTCTGGGCCGACGTCCCGTTCGCAGCAGCCGCCTTCCGGGCCTTGAGGTCGAACCAACTCGCCATGAGGAAATAGAATTGGCTGATTGCTGTGAGCTCTTGCGCGTACTCCGCTGGTTGTGGTCGGATCAATCGTGGCTGACCCCGCGTAGTGGTGCACTGGTGCAGTAATGACGACCGAGTAAGTTCAATTAAAGTGCCAGACGCGATGCAGACCGTGGAGTTGACGCGTCTTGGAGCTTTCTCGGTTGACAGGGATCGGGGATGTGAACCCACCGCGTGCGTCTCTACGTGCTGCACGGTACAGAACCCCCGCGGCGACTATGTACCCACTCTAACTGAGGTACCTGGGGGTCACTCAAGGATGTGAGCAGTTGCCTCTGTTCGTACGTGCAAACGAGCATGCGATATAGGGCATCGTATCAACGCCGCAACCCTTGCTCTATGGCCTAGAATTTGATATTATTTGGTATTTAATCATTTTGTGACGGGAGCTAGCACGGTATCATTCAGTCTTGCTATTATTGCAACGTAGGCTCTGAATAGCTTTCCAAGCTGGGGGGCCCTTAATTGCCTGTAATGGGTCTCAGAAGGCCCATGGATCTTGAGACAGGTCTTGTGTTGTTAATCCACAGATTATTGCCATTATGTATTGTCCAAGAGAAAAGGATGTACCCAATATGCACATCTATCCATCGCTCAGGAGCAATAAGGACAAAGGGCGACGGCGTCATTGGCAGATACGCCACGGACGGCCAAAGGAATAATTGACTAATGGCTCGCCAGAGGAAGTATATCCCTTTGGGCGAGACACCGGAAGGCAACAGCGTAACTGCCTGACCCTTAAGTTACCTAAGGGGGAAACGGAAAATCCAAGACCACTTTCTCTGAGGTGCAAGGTCAAGCTCGGATCATAGTGCCGTCAGCCATTGTGGGGCTTCCCGGTCCAGCACTGGGAAAGGGAGGGGAGTGTACGGGATACTACGGATACCTATGTGTCCAGCTCAATGCCACACCGCACTCCAACGATTCAACCGCATCAATGCACACTACATAAAATTACCCCTCCTGCCCCGCCAAACTACTGATTTTGTGCAGCTGCTTTCTCACAGTGTCCCAGCATTCCAGTGTCCTAGCGTCCGTCCCGACAGGCGCCTTCCCACCGGAGTACTTCTACTTTTACCAGCAAGGCAGCCGCCACCGACCGACCAACCGAACTGACTGATCAACCAACAGAAGTCGCATTTGACCGTTTGTTAAACTCCCTTGACTGTCCTGGACTTCATCTCCGTCAGGCTCTCAGGCCGCGCCCGCTTGATCGTCTCAACATCAAAGTCTCCAAGAAGGCAAGTGACTGCTATCTTGTCTACTTACAGCATTTCGGAACCAAAAGGACCACGCGACTGCTCGCCAAGGGAGCCGCACAGCGCTCAATCCATTCACCATGGCGGATCAATCCATCATTCGCATCACCAAGGTAGCCTCCCTGACCCCCCGCCCATCTCCTTAGGTACCTCAGAAAGTGGGGTCAGAATCGCAAGGCTGACGCTGTTATTATTATTATTTTGCAAAATAGGAGCTGAGTGACATCCAGCGAACATCAGATCTCTGTACGAGTGCCCCATTCTGTGAGCGAAGACCTGCGCTGACCATCCTGCCAGCTTTGGCTGTTGCTTGCCGGGATGTCGATGTTCGCAATGTCAAGGCCTTGATCATCGGCCCCCACGACACCCCCTACGAGTTCGGTTTCTTCGAGGTACATAGAATATATTTGGTGTTGCACAGTCTTGACCGCATGCTGACTTACAGCCAGTTCGCAATCCGGTTCAACAAGGGTACATCTCTACTGTGCCTGCCCCTGCCATTTTGTTCTTGGCCTGACGTGGAAACAGAGTATCCTCGCAAATCACCCAGTGTGAACGGAATCACGACGAACGGAGGACGATGCCGGTTCAACCCGAACATATACTCGTCCGGCAAGGTTTGCTTGTGGGTTCAAGTCAACGAAGAATGTTGGACTGGGTGGTTGCTGACGCTGCTGCAGGTCCATTCTTGGGTACAACGAGGCATGTTAGGGTTTCCATGGAACGTTTGACTAACAGCATGTAGCACCTGGCGTGGAGAGCGTGGTGAAGAATGGTCCGCGGCACAGGGTCTTGAGTCCATCCTCATCTCCATTCAGAGTCTGATGTCAGGCAATCCTTACGAAAACGAGCCCGGCTTCGAGGAGGCAAATGATGCATCAGACAAGAAGAACCAGAAGGACTATGTTCAGAAGGTGGGCAGGCTCAGTGTCATAGGTGGCAAGAAACGAACAGAGTTAACTTGGATACCCAGATCCGCCACGAGACTCTACGAATTTCCGTGATTCAACGCATGGAGGAGTATTTGGGTTTGACTCCCGATGGCAACGCAATTGCCCAACAGTCGGCGGTAGATGGAGAACAGCTGGATATGGACACTGAGGACATGGATGGCACCAGCGTCCCCTTCGAGCCCTTCAAAGATCTGTGTAAGCGACGGTTCCTCTGGTACTACGACAACTATCTGCTCGCTATCCAGAAGGCCAAGACCGAGGTCAAGGACCATCAAGCTTTTGTGCGTATGCCATTCGAAGGCGCTAGCAACTCCATGGATGGCAAGTTCAACTACACGGAACTGGAAAGGCGTCTCCGCAACGTCAAGGCTGCTCTAGACAACGAGCTTCTCAAATGGGCCATGGAGGGTCAGGCCGCAAGCGAGAAGGAGATGACAGTCTCGGTAAACCTACGGCACCAATACGAGCAGGTGGTGCAAACATTTAAACGCCAGGACATTCCTCATGATGTTCAGCTGGAGGATAACAACCCTTTTGTCTGGGTAATCACCTACTTTGGACGGCCTATGACGAACCTTGACGGCGGCCTCTTCCGTATCAAGATGCATTTCAGCCCGAGATTCCCCGAGGAACAGCCCCGCGTCAAGTTCCAAACCCGCATCTTCCATCACCGCATCTCGGCGGATGGAACGACTTGCTACTTCCCGAACTCCCTCAGAAAGGACGATGTGCGTTCCCACATCGAGGCTGTTTTCACGGCATTGGAGGAAGAGGATCCGGCTTACGACCCTCGAACCTTGGTGAACCCTGAGGCGCACAAGCTCTATTGGGGAGGCGCTGATGGACGTAAAACATACAACCGTCAACTTCGCAGATCAGTACAGCTAAGCATGGAGTAAACAGCAACCTGCCATCTCATCGTTTGCTGCGGCTAACTTGTTTTTAGGGACTTCTGATGTCTGTGTGGCATGCCACGTTGCGCGTTTGAAGTGTCAGATCACGTAACAGCCGCGCAAGCTTGCAACCATGTGTTTGGTACAACTTCAGTACATAAGCCGGCTTGGACTCTTCGGTCGGAATGATGGGGATTAATAACGGTCAGCTTTGGGTTTACCTAGGTTCATCATGGCTTCTAAGGGACTGGGTGGCGTTTACGGCATCGGAATCATGCATACCGGGAACGGGGTAGGGGGCTGAACCCTTTAGACTCCAGTAGATACCTAAACTAATAACGCAGCGAAATGAGCTTTTTCCCTCCTCGTTTTGGCACAAAATATCAACTCCCTGTGCTTGCCTCAATCAAAAGGAGACTTCAGAATGCGATATAAATACAAAGTCCCTTTGTGGCCTAGCCCCTATGCTCGCCGTGACGCCACCCCATCCCTAAGCAACCATATGCGTACCGACTCATAATCTCATGATTTCCATAATACAGTATTAATCATACATCTTTCCGTAAGATGTTATTCCTTTCTTCATATATCGTGATTAGAAACACGCCTGGTCGCAAATGTGACGTTCTTTAGCGCTTGCCTCCTTTCACCTTCTTGTCGATTCTATCCTTCCCAGGGGTGTAGGGTGCCGCAACGCCTATGAAGGGCTTCTGGTTACCTCCGGGTTCCCCCTTGAACTCGTACGTCCCGTTCGGTCCCAACGTCGCAGGCGCACCTTGACTTGGTCGCGCTATTTGGTCCGAATGGATCTTATCGAGAGACTCGCCGACAACAGCATACTGCGACCAGTTGATGGGCGGACAGCGCACAACATTCTGGGGTTTGGGCAAAGTCTCCCAAGGCTGCGGGTCTGCCTTCGCCTTTCCTTGTCCGGAGCTACCCTCTCCAGCACCCTGCCTGACTTTTTTGCCCTCCGTCTCATCATCTGAGTCGGAGTCAGACTCCGGGAATAGTTTGTCGCCCTGCGTGTGCACCTTGCCTGCTCCGAGATCAGCGAGGAAGGCAGTGGGGTTCTCCACGGCAGCATCCTTCGCAGCATTGAGCGCTTGAATGTCTACAGTAGCCTTCTTTGACTGCATCTGAAGGATAGAGATGGCCGACTTGAGGGCCAGGACGTCAGGATTAGATTCGAAGTCAATGGGCTCCGGTCGCGGAGGGGGGATGGTTGTAGCGGTCGGCGGCTGGGAGGCGTGGGTAAGGACCGGGCGGTCGGCGGCGAAAGGGGCCGCGGGGTCGGGAAGGCGGGCGGGGGCAGAGTCGGGGTTATGGGGCTGATTGGGGGGCGAGCGGGGGATGAGGAGCGAGAGGAGCGCGGAGGGGTCTGGTGCGCCATGGGATTTGTTGCTTCCGCCATCGACGTAGTTGCAGGTGTCGGGACGCCAGCCGCAGACGCAGATGGTGCCGGCACTGGAGCGCCCGATGTCCGCGGAGAGACCGGGTCTGTTGATATCGTAAGGCCGGGCATGGTGGGCGAGGCTGGCGACTTCCTCAAGAAAGGGGGGTTTGTGTCGGTTTGTCTTCTTCGTGGGGGTTTGTAAGCGGAAGAAACGAGTATCAGAGGTTGGTATGTCCTTCTCTTGGTGGGGTTTGCATGACGGGGGAGGGGAAGGTCAGGGATCGGATCTGTAAGTGCACCGTGCGTTCCTCGAGCAGCCGCGTGTGGTGTGGAGATGGTTCGGCAACTTTGTCAGCGTCGGGGTCACTGGCGCGAGCAGGTTGGGCTGGCTGCTTCTGGATTAAGTCGAGTACGCCGGGAGCCTGAGGAAGATTTCCAGAACAAAAACCACGTTGCGACAGTTCAGACGATCGAAAACTGGCCAAAAACTCCGAGCCAACGGAGGTCAGTATGGCAAGGTGAAAACACTACCGGTATGTAGGCATTCGAAACGGAGGTGGGGCCGAGGCGTGACGTCCTTTGATTGTTGTTTCTTGTCGTTAGGCTCACCAATCCAAGACGAGAAATCGATACGAGTGAAAAGACGGGGGAATCGAAACATGCGCCCGCCGAGGCTGACATCCAAATGCACGCTTACCACTGGCTGAGGCTATTCAATGTCATGAACCCGACACTCAGGGCCGAGGTGGGCAACGCACGGTCTTCTTACACTACTAGGGACTGGAGGTTTGGAGCTGAGAGACGAGTGTGCTTGGTTCTTGCCTCCAGACACCGTTTCCGACAGTTACAACAGCTGTGAATCCAAGATGCCGCACCAGCTCCGGAAAGGGCCAGCATGGACATTGAATCCCAGTCCGAGGAAGAACGTATTTGTCGTACACTAGTATTGAATCTTGTTGATATCTGTTAGGCCCGCTGATGATGCAATTTCGGACTTTTTCTTTTCGGCTTGCAACCTTCGGACAAAACACCGTTCGGCCGTACGGCCGTAATGTTTTCTTCAACCCCACTCGTAGTTAGTGTATCTGAAAGGCTTGCGCTTGAGAAGATGGGTTATTGGTCGGAGATGATTGGGAGTGCAGATAGTGAGAGTCGGTCATCGAGAACTGCAGCCTGGGATCTAGGGTACACACAACTTCAGCTTTGCGCCTGCAGCCTGGAGACTTGCATGGGCGTTGCTTTTCCTTGCCTTTTTCTTTCTTTTCCCCTTAGGTTGCAAACTACGCGCGTAGCCAGCTATTGGTTTTTGTCCAACATCCATGGGGAAATTACCTACCTAGGGAATTGTGTCTGAATAGGCCTGTCCACCACTTCCAGCCCCATCACCAACAGGCCCCGGATTGAGGCATCGCGAGGATGTGCCGTGTTTACTGGATCTTTAGCGAGTGTTTAGGTTTCCTTCCATCTTTGAGATTGACAACTGCCGTCCGAAGCGGATCATGGTTTCTTGTGTTTCTCGACAAAGGACGCAGCGCCTCAATGTGAAAGCCCGAGTGTCTGAAGTGGATCTTCATCCTGACCCAGAACCTCGGGAGAGACGGCGTCCGACCTGACGGTTTCTGGGTAGATCGACAAAGGACAAACCCCCAAAGCAGTCGGCTGGCTAGCAGCGTTAGATAGACTCCGGAACACCTCAAGGCATCACAAGAAAAGGCATAGTAACTTCAACACATCGCCCCTGCTTCCCTTCATCCCTTGCAGCACACGGGCCTTGGAGCGTCTCGGGTAAAGTGCCCACCAATTTAATGGTTCCTTTGCAACAGTGTGACGAGAAACACGCCAACCTCAGGTCGTCGGGTTGGCCGTCTATCCTGTGGCAGAGTCTTTGCGTGTCTGCAATAGTTCTAAAGTGGCGTCCACTGACAATGCGAAGCTGATAGACTACGCAGCATTAGGAAGGTGCTCCGCTGGGGTATCTGGCTCTCCTGCTGAACGCCGGGGGCATGAACAAGGCATGACAACTCACCAAAAGAGACCAGGGGAAGGAGCAACCAAGTCGGTTCGCTCTGCTCTTTCCTGGAACCATACTTTTCTTTTTCTTAGCCCTTTTTGGGGGGCGTTAGTCTCGCACGTTACTGCCACGAGGTCGCTCCATCCCGTCCGGTCTATATGTTCAACTCCTAATCGTTTACACATCGACCTTAGCTTTCTCCTTCCGCTTCCACCTTCACCCGCAATCAATGGAATATACAATCTCACGACTTCCGTTCTTCAAATCGGATCCCTCCAGGCCTCTTTGACTTCGGAATCTCTATCAACTGTATTATTCTTGTCTTCACCCTCCCGACATATCTTCTTTCACTCACAGCCGCTTTCTGCCCCCATAAGACACCCGAGCAGCGTCAGTCATACCCATCAAACAAGGCAGCAGGCTTCACTACTACTGCTGCAATAAACGAGTTGTTCCAACACATTGGTGCTTGAATAGGAGGCATCTTTCCCTCGCTTTTGAAGTAAACAATGCGCCTACTCCAACGACATCGGAACAAACAGAAACACCCGCCTCCTCTTGCTGACCTCACAGACCACCAAATACCATCCGCCTCATTAACACCGTTGCCACCCATTCGCAACTTTTCGTACCCGGCTGCTGCTCTACAGACATCTTCAACCGCATTTTCACAGTCAGCGGCCCCATCAACCAGCCGCATCTCTGTGGGCGACACCCTCCAAAACCCCAGCACGAAGACGCAACCTTGCCGACAAGGTGGAGGCATTGAAACCCCATTCTACTGGGCCTCCTCTTACACTCCCCTACGAGGTGAAGACAACTTCACCTCGGTAGATCTAGAAACATCGACTTCATTCAGCGGACCAGAGGCATTTGCCTACGGCTAGGGGCCAATCCGCGAAAAAAGGAAGAAGCGAAAAAACCTCCTTGGACGGCCGACGTCTAACAAAACCAAAAGTACGCTGCAGGGCACCCGGCCTGCAGAGCACGCAAGCCAAGGCCAGCAGCTTGGTGAAGAATTCTACTCCCAGGGTTCCAGATCATCATCCAGAACTCCCATCAGCGATTCACCCAAGAAAGCATCTCCTGTAAAGCACTTTCGAATCCGGCACAAAATTGCCAAATCCATCGATTTGTCGTCTGCCCGTCTACGCTTGCCAGGCCCACCACGACCTGCATCTAGTTCGGGCGTGGCAGCTGTCGACACAAGAACAGCTCCGCAAAAAATTGGCTTAGCCATAGACGAAGAAGACAATCACCCGGGCACCTTGCTCGAACTCGGCGACGACGAAATGGGTCTCAGACGCAGAATCTCGGAGATGGACTTGAGAATGTCTCCCTCGAAACGTGCCTTACCCGATCAAGTGCAGCACCCCGACACTATTGTCTTTGCTGCTGCTCGTTCCTGTGTAACCCCGACGGGGATGAGGCCCGAGGACAATCTCAAGGCCAAGAATGGCAAATCGCGCTGGGTCAACCAGCTCAAAGACTGGTTTAGCGTTGGCGAGCCATCTTCTCAGGACTGGAAACAGCTGAGGAAGAGAGAGTTTCATAAACATGGAATCGCCATGAACGACCCCGAAGCAAGCGCAAAGCTGCATGCCCCTATTGGAGCCATCCCTGAAGAGGCCATTAAGCCATCTAGCGGGCCTGACCCCGAGGTTGTTGCCAAGAAGAAAGCCAGGAATCGCAAGCAACTTCCTCGGGCATATAATTACTCTGGGAGAGCTTTGAGTTCCATTTCTTCTGAGTCTTCCACGGGAAGCAAGGAGGTCAACCCTATTGCACCTTGGGCGTAGGCGTGCGCGTATCTGGTCTTTTGGGGGGGGAACAATCCTTGGGCTTCGTCAGGCAGAGGCCAGGGAGTCGTGAAGGGAACTAATGATTAAAATAAAGTTATGGAGGATACAATGATTTGCTCGCATCACTTTTGCAGTATACCCGCTTTTGCACGCCGCGAAT